ACGGCGGAACCACGAGACAGCGCAGAAGCAGAGGCCCCGCCGGGTGTCCCGGCGCCCGCACACTCGGCCAAGGACGCCACACCGTCCCTTCCCAAGCACCGACAGGTGGAGGCTCCGGCAGGAAGCGCGGGCGACAGTCGCCTCCGCAGACCCCTAGGCAGGCCCGGCAGCCCCCACCCCCACGCCCGCACCAGGGTCCCGGGCAGAGCAGGGCCCCAGGCGGTGGGGAAGAAGGACGGTGCCTCCCAGGCCACATCATCCAAAAGGGAGCCCCTGCCGGCTAAATCGCAGCAGTCGGTCTCGGCTGAGGAGGATGAAGACGTGGTGTTTTTTAAAGGAGGAAAGGACAAGGACGAGGACCCGCTGTCTTCCTCGGTTCCAAAGTGGCCCTCCTCCTTCACCCCCAGGGGCGACAAATATGCTAATGGAAACATCGCCAAGGGGGAGACGGACCCCGTCATCGTGCTTGCGCCTCCCAGAGTGAGCTCCCGGCAGGACGAGAACGCCACCCCGGTCAAGCGTCCTCCTCCGCCACCTCCGGGCGGCTCCCCGAGAGCTTCGCACCACCCGCCCAGACACCCACCTCGCAGCCCTGCCACCCCGAGCCCCACCGTGGGCACCCCCGCCAGGCCGCAGTTCACCACGCGCGCCCCTGCCGTCCACTCCTCCACCACCCCGATGCTGTCCTTGCGCCAGCGCATGATGAACGCCAGGTTCCGGAACCCCTTCTCCCGCGCGCCTGTGAGACCCCCTTCCAGACAAGGTAATTTGTTTTTACCTCAACATTTATTTTCGTTCTCAGCGGTGGTCGTAGAAATTTCAAGAGCCTCTTATTTTTATTGAGTATCTGCTCTGTCCAAACATTTTGTTAAGAGCTTTGCAGATGTAACTTGATCTTGTCCTCTTAAGCATCTCCTGCGGTTTGCATTGCTTCTCCTGGTCTTCAGACGAAACTGGGACTCAGTGACCTGAGTGGTTTGCTGGCGCTCAGACAGCTGTGAAGTGACTGAGCTGCAATTCTAATCCCAAACACGAATTCTACAGCTCTCTGTCGCTCCGCTATCTCAAACTGCTTCTTTGAATTCCTCCACAAATGCTCTAATTGGTGAAATTGTGTCATAGCCATGATGCCAAACTCAGGTTCCTGCGTTTTAGGTTGTTTTTAGTTGTTTCCATGGCGAGGTATATTAAGGAATCCGCAGGAAGGAGTTAGACGCCTGTGCAGGCTGGGTCTCGTCCCTGGTGGTGCTGCGTATAAAACGTCCAACTAAGCACACCTTGGGACCAACTCAAATGTCTTAGGTGAGAGTTGCTCAGACGTTGCACTCTGGATGTCGTTTAAAATCTCCAGAAAGGGCATGTTAAGGACAATTGTCACACAGAGGCGTAACAGGCAGATGTGTGACTTCCATTGAGGACAGAATGTAGACAGCTATGAATTGGAGTCTACATGGACCCCAGGGCAGGATCTAAGCTATTTATCTGAAATCTGCATTCAGTCAAGTGATGCCTTGCACTCTCCTTGCACAGAATCAAGCCATAATAGAACATTCTTGAGTGAATGTATTAGTATTTGTTTATCTATGTGATATATTGTTAATTTATCACAATATAAAAACATAAAGCAATGCTCCACGTGGAGGTCAGCTTTTCATTTTGTACCTGCCAATCCCAAACTCTCAGTTTATCCCTCCCATCCCCTCCCACCCCCAATTTTTTTCTGTCTGTGAGCCTCTTACTATTTTGTAAATAAGTTTGTGTCATTTTTCTTAGATTCTACATGTAAGTGGTATCATATGATATTTCTCTTTCTCTGCCTTAGTATGATAATCTCTAGATCCATCCATGTTGCTGCAAATGACATTATTTCTTTCCTTTTTACGGCTGAAAACTCAATATGGTTTTAATTCTCATTAAATTTTTGCAACAGAGAAGTGTCTTTGACCTGCAAATAGTTGTTGGAAAGCCGCAGCGCTTTATCCTGTGGCCAGGCTGGAGCACGGCGCTCCCGGCACAGGCCTCGGCCAAAATGCAGCTGATCAGAAAGGCCATGAGGTGGAGAGAGGGGGCAGGTGCTGGGAGCAGACACAGCGGCTGAAAGGCCAGCTGACTGGGCCTTCTCCTTCCTCTGAGCAAATACTCCTCCAGCAGCTCCACTCAAGTCTGCAAGCTTGGAGTCAGCACTGTGCATTTATAGTTGGCAACTGAAGACAGGACCAAGTCAGCTAGAATCGTGGTTGTGTTTAGTATAATCCTCAGAGAAGAGCAGGGCAGCATCTAGTAGACTTTAGAGATGATTTTCTCCATCCTTCCAACTTTCCCTCCCTCCAACTTCCAACTGGATAAAATGAAGCTACAGCTACTATGGTCTTAAGCCTCATCTGGAAATCTTGCTTATGCTGAGCACTCTCGTTCCCCTAGTATTGTCAGAAAACTGTGATTTTACCATCCTCTTCATAGACATTCATATTTGTCATGGAGAAGTCACAATTTAAGACTATCATTATCTACTACATTCACACTATGAGTTTAAAATTATTTCTGTTGGAAATGATGTGTTACTACTTAGAGTTCGGTATGAAGCTAGTTTTCCGGGAATGTTGAATTTACCAGGTTCTGTTGTTTTTTGTACTGTGTAGGTTTTAATGGCAGAGCGAATCTAGAAGGGAAAGTACTTCCTGGTAGTAATGGAAAACCAAGTGGACAAAGAATTATCAATGGTCCTCAAGGAACAAAGTGGGTAGGGTAAACTTCTTTACACATACCAGTTGTTTTCATGCTGTTGGGAAGAGAAAAGTGGTGAACATTGTGTAATAATAAATGAAGTGGGCTTTTTTTTTCCCCTCTAGTTTAACCACTCATATGTCAGTATACTTATACTGTATTGTTTTTTCCAGTGCCCAGAAAAATCTTTGGTTCTCCTAAGGAATTAGTTTCTTTTCATAGATATTATATATCTGTATACCTATATAGGTATAGATGTTGAGATGAGGCATGGGCCTTGTCCCCATTTGCCTTGACTGGTTAGGAAGGCCACACAGGTGTCTGAGTCAACCACAACAGTTATACAGAGCCTGACACATGCATGAGCTCTCACATGAGCTTCTGTTTTCCCATTCCTGAGAGCTTTATTTATTTATATTTTGTTTATTTTTCAATAAATAATTACATATTTTCTGTAAACTGCCTCAAATCCTTTGTGAAAGGAAGCAAGGTAAAAACAATTGAACAAACAAACAAAAATCTCTGAATCAAATAGGCAAGATCAAATGATCTTTCAACAAATGTTGTTTGACTAAAATAAAAAAAAAGTATTAATATTTTATGTATGTTTAAGCTAAATGACTTTAACTTCCTGGGGTTAAGATAAATGTTTAAGAGTTTCTGGTGGGTTGAGGGTAATGGGCAGAATGCTTTACAGTGTTCAGAGTTTTAAAATATTTTTTCAAAGAATCAAAACATTATTCATCATAGAATTCCCAGTCAAAACTTCCCATTTTTAACAGTAAGGTTTAGGAACACATATTGAAGAACCTCAAAGAACTTTCAGTCACAGGTGATTTAAAGATTATTTTATCATTTCTCAAAGGGACAAACATTTATAATAGGAAGAATGCATATTAAAGCAAAGTGTCAAGTGTCATCATGAATAATTTTGAGTTGAAATGGTGTGGAGTAAATTTTAAAAGTAGACTTTATAAAAATAAGTTTTATTTTAATTACTGAGACAGCACCCAACAAAGTGGCCTGCTTGAGGGTTTCCTCCAGTGACCTGATGGTGCTGAGTCATGGGTCTCAAATATTAGTAAGCATCAGAATCACTGGGGGTACTTGTCAGTAAGGTCTGAGTGGGACCAGGTAATTCTCATATCTGACAAGCTCCCAGGTGCGGCTGGGGCAGCTGGTCCAGGACCACACTTTGAGAACCACCCAAGTGCAATCACCGTGCACTTTGAAAGCATGAGTTGTTTTTGAACAGAGATTATGCCATTTTCCCAAGTTTTATAATTCCTTAGACAGTGAAACAGAACCATGTCATGTTCTGTTAAAACAGTTCAGAAATGTATAAAAAAAGATAAGAAAGATAATAAGCATCACAAACACTTCTCAGAAATAACCACTGTTAACAGTTTGGAATCTAGCTGTCTGGAATTTTTCCTCCGCAGTTTTAAGCTTATATACACAAATGAATACATTTTAGCTTTGCAAAATAATCAGGCCTATAATCTGAGTCTGCATCAGGATATGTCAATAAGTACATAATTTCCAAGTCCTTTTCACTGGCTGCATAGTATTTCACTGTCTGGATGGGCCACGATTTATTTAATCTCTTTCCTCCATTGATGAACACTTAGGTTGCTGCCCTCTCTTTAGTGTTACACACAACCTATTAAATGGTAAAAGTATTTTGAACATCTTTTGTATATTTGAGAAACTTAAAACAATTTACATGCCTTGTGGGTGAGCAGTTATACTATGAAATACGACTGTTTTGTACTTTATTCTTATTAAACCTTATGAATGATGCTAATGGAAATAATGTTTCCTGCTCATATGTTCAAGTGGTTGGATTAATGTGAACATTTTGAAATATCCAATTATATCCTCTAATCTGTGTCATGGATTTAGGTTGTGGATCTTGATCGTGGATTAGTATTGAATGCAGAAGGAAGGTACCTCCAAGATTCACAAGGCAATCCTCTTCGAGTTAAACTAGGAGGAGATGGTCGAACCATCGTGGGTAAGTGAGAATGGTTTTTAAGGGACAAAAGTGTCCTGAGTTAGCTGTAGAGTATCAGCTTCTCTGTTCCTCCTCTCCCTCATTTTTAATGGGATCCCTTGTCCAGGTACTTTTAGCCGTGTGGAAAGGAGTGTGTCAGAAGGAGCAGAACTTAGCTTTTCTCTGACCCAGTTGTCTTCCCACAGACTCCACCCTCTAGAAAAGGTGGCTCTTGAGGTTGGGCCGCCTAGAGCCGGAGTCAGCAAACCACAGCTGCTAAAGCCAAATCCTGTCTACTTCCAATTTTGGTATAGCCTGGAAGCTCAGAATCGTTTTAACATTTTTAAATGATTGCAAAAAAAAAAACCCCACAGAATAATAATATTTGTGATATGTGAATAGTATTTTAAATTCACATTTCACGTTCGCACAGAGTTTTATCAGAGCACAGAAGCGTGCATTTGTTGATGTCTATAGCTCATTTGCCCTAACATGGCAGAGGCGAGCAGTAGCAAAATGAGGCTTAAAATATTTAATCTCTGGCCTTTTCCAGGATAAGTTTGCCACCACTGGTCCAAAGTCACGCTTAAACCCTTAGGGACAGGAATGAAGAGGAGAAAGGAATTACTTTCCTTACCAGAGACGTAGCATTATTTCAGGTCATGAGGCACAGCAGTGAAATATTTATATATTATATAAGGTAGTAGAGAGTCATGGACAATATAAAAAGCCCAGAAATTTCTGGAAAGCCACAGATACTGCTACCTCAGCTGATACTCTCTTAATGATTCCTTTGCCTTTACTGATTAAAATAGAAGAGTCCGTGAGCTTTGAGAAGACACTTTCCACCTGCCTTTACTTCCCCTGGGTCATCTCACCTTGTTGCACAGCTTTTGTCTGATTTTCTTGCAGATCTGGGCGGGACCCCCGTGGTGAGCCCTGACGGCCTCCCCCTCTTCGGGCAGGGGCGGCACGGCAAACCTTTGGCCAGTGCCCAGGATAAGCCCATTTTGAGTCTTGGAGGGAAGCCCCTGATGGGCTTGGAAGTCATCAGAACAACTACCCATGTTCCCACCACCACCACCACAACCACCACCACCACCACCACTACACGACCTACCACCACCACGACCCCTCAGCCCACCACGACCACCACCTGGCGCCCAACAACCACCCGAACCACTACACAGACAACCACCACCGCCGCCACCACCACCACCCCTGAGCCTACCACTCCCATCCCCACCTGTCCCCCTGGGACCCTGGAACGGCATGACCAAGATGGCAACCTCATCATGGGCTCAAGTGGGGTCCCAGAGTGCTACCCCGAGGAAGGTAACCATCTCTGTTCTAAAGGGAACTCATGTGGTTCGCACACTGCACTTCAGAGTAGGGTCACAAAGGCTGCAGGGGGAGCCGAGTGGGATGCACAGCGAAAGAACAGCTAGAGGCATCTCTAACCCACAGGGTTTTCCAATGGTACTGTGTCCCAACTAGGGTGGTCAGGTTTAGCAAATAAAAATATTGCATGGGACATGCTTTTCTGAAAAATTATGTAAAATTCAAATCTAAGTGGACGTCCTGTGTTTTATCTGACAGCCCTTGTCGCAACCAAAGTCAAAAATTTCACTGAAACATGGGACATTATTAGTTTGGACTAGCATTTCCCAAAGTGTGTCCCATTGGGTAGATTAGTACTTGTTAAATTAAAAAAAAAAAGTTCTGTGATTCGCTATGTGATTTAAACAAGGCTAAATGAATTTCTTACTGTTGAACTGTAACCATTGAATAGTCTCACTGTGAAGTTCCAAGAAAAGTAGTATTTCCCAAGCATGTGTGATCAGCTCTCCCTTTGGAAAATGCTAATCCTTGTGTGGCTGGGCTCTCGTGGCAGCAGCGGCTGTGTACTGGGTAAGACTGAGCCATTTCCCTGCTTTGGGACAGCCAATCAGGGCTGTCCTGCACCCCTGCTGTGACTTCCCTTGAAGAAGTCTCTCTCTCCACGGCTTCCTGCTGAAGAATGGAAGTGGGCATGCTTTCGGTCAAGTCTCGGTGGAGCCAAGATGCCATCATCTTCTCCGCTCAGCCGCTGTGTGAGATGCTTTGGAAGAGGTCATTGGGTATTTGCCTCAGGCTTGGAGAAGGCAAAGTCATCTTCTTGCCCTCTGGTTGAAGTGAATTGCAGTGTGATGGTAAAGCTTTTGTCTCTTTAAGCTAACACAGAGTGAAGACCCTTCATTTCAGGAATCCTCTGCATGCCCGGAATTCTTACACAGCATCACTGATGGGATAAACCCAAGAAGTTTGACCACAGGTGCTGTCTCCATACTGGGAATTCTGTTTGAAGTTAGTCTTTCCATAGAAGAGTTCCAAATACACAGGAACATCTGACATATCTGAAAAATTCACACCAAAGAACAAGGAACACACTGAGGAAGAGGACCACCGCGAAGAAAATTCTCACACTGTCAGCTGACCCAGTGAGAACCAATGGGAGTTTACCATTGCATTTCTGGTATGGAAACATCACGTACTTTCCTTGACCTCTTACTCCTGCATACCTTGATGTGTCCATTTTTTTTAATTGAAGTATAATTAGAACAGATGTTTACTTAATAATTGGTTGTAAACCAAAGAGTGACTCTTTTGGATTTGGTTTTAATTACTACTACTACTGCTATCATTAATTTCCATTTTCTTTTGTCTGCTTTTATGTAGGCCTTATTGCATATTGCACATCTTTTCATTTACTTTGTATTTCTGGGCTTTTATTTGGCATGAAAGTCAGTATTTTTCTTGATGTTTTTGTTTCTTCTTTGCAAATCATGGTAGAGATGTGTATTTTTTACTTCACTCCTGTCCATTCGTCTGATAGCCTAGCCCAAGCCAAATTAGCATCCAAGTGTTAATAATAATTTGCCTTTAGACAGCATTTTGAGAATAAGCACGAAGTCTTGGGAAAAAAAATTATATTTGGGGAGAGCAACATATCTTCAAGCAATATTATAATGTACTACAATTTATTCTTTTAAAAATACTTCTGCAGGGCTTGTCTTCCTTTTTTATTTCTGCTGTTCCCCTAACAACCTTATTAAGCATTTTCTTCCTAGTATTATTTCTAATCATAATCATTTCTATTAAAAAATTTAATAATGGCTTTATTGAGGTATAACTCATATACCATAAAGTTCACCCTTTTAAAGCATACAGTTTTTTAGCATATTCAGAGTCATGCAACCATCCCCCACTATCAAATTCCAGAACATTTTCACCCTCCTCCCTTAAAAAAAAACCCATACTCATTAGTAGTCACTCCCCATTCCCTGCTCCTCCCAACTCCTGGAAACCACTAATCTACTTTCTGTCTCTTTGTATTTGCCTATTCTGGACATTTCACGTAAATGGAATCATATGAAATGTGTCCTTTTGTGTCTGGCTTCTTTCACTTGTTTTCCAGTTTCATCCATGTTGTAGAATATACCTGTACTTCATTCCTTTTATTGCTGACTAATATTCCATCATGTGGATAGACCACATTTTATCCACTCATCAGTTGATGGACAATTGGGTTGTTTCTACCTTTTGGCTATTATGAATAATGTTGCTATGAACATTTGTTTACATTTTTTTCTTTTTGGGGGGAACACCTGTTTTTAAGTCTTTTGAGTATCTATTTGGGAGTAGAGATGCTGTGTCGAATGGTAAACTCTATGTTTAACTTTTTGAGGAACCACCAAAGATGTTTTCCATAGCGGCTGCACCGTATTACATCCCCACCAGTAATATATGAGGCTTCTAATTTCTCAGTACCTTCACCAACACTTGTTATTATCTGTCTTTTTCATCCTAGCCATATTAGTGGGTGTGAAGTAGTATCTTGTTTTGGTTTAGAGTCACAGTTCCCTATCAACTAATGATGTTGAATTTTTATTTTTCATACTTTCTGTTTATAGGTTCTGAAATTCAAAGTGAACAGGATTAAGTTGTGTGTCTAGATAAACCCTGATTTAGTGAATTCATTTGATAGATGTTTCTTTATCATCGTGACAGTGATTTCCTTATGAGAAAACCCATGTAGTAATTTAAAGAGGATAAAGTAGCTCTTTTTGCTTTTTCCGGCTTCCTTTATAATTTTGGAAAATAGAATCAGCAAATGACCATTAATTGTCTCCTCTGCCTGGATCAGGTTCTGTGGGAAACAGAGAAAAGCAGGTGACATGGCTACACCTCTGAACCTTCACAATCTAACTCAGTCTACCTCAAATTACAATAGATAGAAGCAGCTCACTTGTTAGAAAACCAAATTGTTGGAGGGAGGGTATAGCTCAGTGGTTAGCGCACATGCTTAGCACGCACGAGGTTCTGGGCTCAATCCCCAATAACTCCATTAAAATAACTAACTAAATAAATAAACCTAACTCCCCACCCAAAAAAAAAACCCCACAAACAAAATAAATAAAATATTTGGGGTGGGTATAGCTCAGTGGTAGAACGTATCCTTAGCATGCACAAGGTCCTGGGCTCAATTCCCTATACCTCCACTAAAAAAAAAAAAAAGAAAACCAAATTGGTTATCTTGATAATAGAGTAAGATGGGGTAAAGATCCATTTCTCCAGGCCTGAAGCTTTGGTGTCTCTTTCGTTCTTTCATCTCTGTTGTCAGGTTTCATCAGTTCCCACCAATTCCTCCATCACAGTGCTTAGACTTCATGCCTCCATTTCTAGGCTGACCCTGTTGGCCCAACTCTCAAGTTATTATCCCTTATTGGGCTTCCGTACATCAGCCTCTACCCGCCTCCTATCCAGATCCCACCTCAGCACACTTTTCTTGAATTTTCCTGAGCCAGGCACTGCGCTCGCCTGAAGAACATTAAGCACGCTCCCTGCTCCCCTGGCTTTGGAATGCAGCAGCCGCCAGGGCTAATCACGGGCGGGTTTAGAATAGTGAGCATCTTGGTGGGGAATTAGCTTCTAAAGACGGCTTGTAATTTGAAAATCACGGTCAAAATTATTCATGAAAAGCCTATGTGTTGTCTAGGAAATTCAATAGACTTTGCCATATCTTTTTTTTTTAACTATTTTTTTAAGAGCAGTTTAAGGTTTATAGCGACTTTGTCATTTCTTGGTTGAACACATTGCAGTGGCCTTGACGTGCAAAAACGCATTCTGTAAATGCAGTAATAACACTCAGAACAGAGGCTTCCAGTCAGCTCACGTCAGCGAGGGGACAGTCCGGACTCTCCCCCTCACACTTAAACCACAGAACCACCTGCACCACGTCTCCCTGCCTTTTGCTCTGCTCTCATGTTGTGTTTGTGTTTTTTCTCAAGTTCTCTCTTTTTGTTGTGTTGGGAGTACAGTGGGCCCTCTGTATTGGCGGGTTTCACACCTGCGGATTCAACCCAATGTGGATGCTTGAATCTGCAGGCGTGAAACGTCAGGATGCGGAAGGCCCACTGCATTCTTCACACTACAGCATTTTATAAAGGGGGCTTGAATGTCCGCAGACCCTAGTATTCCCAGGGGCTCCTGGACCCTTCCCCGTACATACTGAGGGACAACTGTAGTTCAGTGTATAATGTAAACTCACAAGAGCTGGGGTTCCATGTACACACAATCAGTATTTATTCATAGAGCAAATTTTGACCATGGCACCTTGCAGCCTAGTAAACTGAAATTGTTGTGACTGATTATTACATGCCATTGGCAAAGTCCTGAAATTTTGTTTCTAGCCCTCCAATTTTAAAATCATCTTTTCAAATCTCTTAGTCTTGACTCCCCTGGTTAAATCATGCCTATTTTTTCCTTTAAAACACTGCTTTAAAATAGGGTTCTGGGAATAACTTTGGGTCATTTACTCATTCTGTTCCTGAGTCCAAACTCATTCTGCTCACCGCATGACAGGCCAATAAATCGGGAGATGAAGTATTGGGGCAAGGAATAGCGAATTTATTCAAAAAGCTGGCAGACCAAGAAGATGGCAGACTAATGTCCTAGAGGTCTATCTTCCCCAAGTCAGAATTCGGGCTCCTTTTATACTAAAAAGGGGAGGGGGTACCGTTGCTTGTTGCAAGCTTCTTGGTATTGGAATCCTTTGTTCTTGCAGCTCTCCACGTGGGGCAGGTCACCCTGTTCCTGTAAACCTCCAACAAGACAAATGTAATTCTCTGTTCTACAACTTTTTATCTCCATATGAAAGGAAAAGTGTTACACCCTTAAAGGTCAGACCCTTGAGAATGGGCTGTCCTGTGTATTTCAGGCTCTAGGCAACATTCTTTTACAAAAGGTGCAGAACCGGCATGACTAAGCCCAGGAAACAGCACAGAGTTAAAGTCAAAGGAACAGATCTAATATGGAGTCAGATTTGGTCTTTTCTATTACAATTCCATTAATTCAGTCAGTACGTATGTACTTCCTCATTTGTTATAGATGCCCTATTGTATGTATATTTCTGTAAATGTAGGTGCATATTACATGCTTATTTCCAGTGTATTGTAGCTTTGCCTCTTTCTACACACACACACACACTTTTTTGCTCGCTCTGACTTCTCTATTAAATAGTAAACTCCTTGCAGGAGAGACAGCATCTTCTGCTTCATTTCAAATTCCTCATGGTATCTAATTATGCATCTTTGGATAGCCAAACCATACCCTAAGCCAGGGCATTGTCCGTTTTCTGACTGCGAAGTCTTATCTGTGATCCTTGTTTTTCAGGTTCCATTTCTACAGCAGATCTGATGGGATCATGTGTGTTTGGAAATGTTACAAGCCAACTGAACATCTTCAACAATTTGTAACATGACCTTGGGGCGTGTTTTAGAAGAATATCAGTCATTATGGAAAACAGTTCCATCCTGCCATAGCTCACTCTCAAGACAGAAAATACAAAAAGAATGATTGAAAATTCACTTGAGCTGGACCAACCAATTTGCATATATCCTTGGGTTTCAAATGGCTGTAATTTACCTTCTTTCTAAATTTCTAATGAGAATTTTTTTACAGTTAAAAAAAAAATCTCTGGAGCTAAGAACCGAACATCTTGCACTCATTTTTTTCATGACCATTTGGATAAACCACTCAGGAAAATAACTTATACCGCATGGTTGGTGTCTGGCAGCTGCTTTTATGTGAAGAGGTGGAAGCTTTTTTCACTGATGCTCAGTTGAGTTATGCAGCATCCAGTTTTATGTAGTTCTGAATGCTTCACAATGGCATTCAGGTGGGGCAAATTCTGATGGTTAGCTTTAAAAAAAATTATGAATATACTTCATTACATCTGGAGGTTTCTTTTACTTGGAATCAAGATGGTGCTATTTTAAAAAAATTATGCCTGAATTTATTTGCTCTTAAAACAAAAAAAGGAGCACTAAATCACTCAGTAGGACGTTTACTTTTGCCAGAAGACTTAACTGTCACTCATCTCAAGAAGTGGCCCAAGTTCGCAGGTCCCAGGCATCATCACCTCTGCGGCCTGCTGCTGTGCCAGAGTATTTCAGCTCCTCAGGGAACTACACTTAGTACCAGGAATCCATGAAGGAAACTCTACACCTTCCCCTTTTCTTATTCACTTTGGGATGTTAAAATTGTGCAATATATTGACTTTGACCTGACCAAAAGTAGTAATGAGAAGAAATGAATCTGAGCTGATAAAGAGATAAAACAAGACTATGTTCTTGAAAGTTAAATTGACAAGGGTAAGAAAATGGTATTCCAGGAAAAAACAGCAAGATAACCACAAACTTTAGGTGATGTGAACTTCAAAACTGTTTGATTCGAACCAGCCCAGAGGTGAATTCCTCTTGGATCCAGGCATATTGACATTGGAATGACCTAAAAAAATTATGTCTAATTGTTTTTCTTGAAGTGACCATCCTAAAAGGTGGATTATTTACAACTTCTCTCTTGTTGACATTCGTCGGCCCCATCAGAACACACCCAGCATCACTACCTCGGTGGGGGGAGCATCTCACAGGCCCTGGTGTCTGCAGGCTTTTTGCTACGATGGCAGAAGGGCTGGACGGGCCGTGCGAGGTTGCCGCTATCCTCCGCTGGTGGTGTTGGTTTTGGCAGTGTAACGTTCATGGTATTACTCAAAGTCGGCTCAGAAAAAGGCTGATAGAATGATTATATTGGAATATTTCTGGAGAATGATCAATGCTTTCCTAACAATCAAAAAATTCAAAATTGGTGCATAACTATTTGGTGAAAGAGGTTTATGTCTTTTCCACCTCGATTCCCCCTTCGTTATGCCGCAGAATGACAATTCTAAAAAAGCGCTTTAAGTTTTGCAAGTTTGGTTAGTGCAACTTTTAAACAGTGGAGGCAGTTTTATGAAGTATTAAGTACATAGTCTTTGGAGCTGAGGGCCTGAAGTTCAATTCTGTTTTAGCTCTGTCTTTTACCAGCTGTGTGACTCCAGGCATGTTATAAATCCTTGATGTCCTTGGCTGAGAAGTGGGTATAATAAATCCCACGTATCTCGAGTTTTATGAGGATTAACTCAAACAACAGATACATGACTGTGCCTGATGCCCAGAAGGCAGGTAATAAATCCTAGTTACCGCTTCCTGACTCCCCTCTACTCCTCTGCCTTTTAAGAGTGCAGAGTTTAGAGTTCTGTATAATTACCATGGCTTCAGGTCACAAGGAGAGAGGGAATTCCTCTGAATTTTTCTGAGTTAGAAAATCTTTCGCCTCAAGATTTTTACCAACTACAGAGAAATATTCCCCCCCCCACCCTGGCCTTTTTTTTTTTAGCTGCATCTACATCCCCCAAGTAGAGAAATAGTATATTGATTTCCTCACATCTTCATAATGGAAGCAAAAATGTGGGGTTTTCTTTGCTTAAATCACTCACCTTTCTTAACTGTGTTGTTATCCATACTCATAATGTCAGTTCAGTCAATAATAGTCATTTTAACAGTGGTTTTTAAAATTCAGGCTTCTTGGAGGACATAAAAGTCACATACAAAATTCTATAACTGCATTTAAAGGATAGTTCTGTGGTCTTCATACCTCCAGTGATTGTAAGTCAAGCCCAACCTGTTGTGAAGAGAGTTTGTAAGGACTGGAATATTATCTGCAAACTTCATATGCAAATTAAGAAGCCTAATTAGTATGGATTTCTCTCTCGAGTCGGTGAGGGAGGGCGGGAGGTTGCGAAGCGCAGCGGTGTGTTAGGATGTAGGAGGGGCAGGAAGTCACCCCGCTTCTGGAGCTTGTAAGCGGCGAGGTCCAGGGGATGGAGAGCACGCACGTGCGATGAGCAAAGGCGCTCCCAGCGGAGGGATTCCTGTCCGCACCCTGGGTCCCAGCCCCCGAGCTCCGCGCGCAGAGGACGCCTGCTCTCAGGGCCCGGCGCGGGGGTCCTCCCTGAGCCCTGGGAGCCTCCTGGGCTGGCGGGGTGTGTGGGCACCGCGGTGGCGGGAGGGTCGGGACGTTATGGGGCGGGGATGGGGTCGGGGGCCTCTCTGTTTCGCCCCACGCCCTTTCCTGAGCACAAAGGAGAGAAAATCCGGGTTCCATCTCCGTGTTCTAATTCTCTTCCTTCCGAGGAAGCTGAGAGCCCCCGGCAGGTGGTGGTTTATTCCCAGGAAACCGTCGTGGGGCTGGGTCTCGCGCGCGATTCTGAGAAGAAACCCCGGGGCATCTAATGACCCTCTCTCCCCTCCCCTTTCACCAGACGAGTTCTCAGGATTGGAGACCGACACGGCAGTCCCCACGGAAGAGGCTTACGTTGTCTACGATGAAGGTACTAATGTGATTTTAGACACATTATTTGCACACTTTCCTGATGGGGGAACCTTACTTTAATTACTGAGTGGATGGTCTCAATTTCAGTTTCCCTCGAACTGGGGCTGGGTGGCAACCCTTAGGGAAGGCGGTCGTACCCTCCCCCTTCCAAGTGACCCCCACCCCCATACAGATTAGATCCAAAGGAAAACTGCTTGATACAAAGAGACAGCTTCCAGATAAGCCCTTGGGCTCCGCTTTTCGCTCCTTCTCCCTCTTTCCTCTAGAAATTCTGGAGCCGCTTGCCTCTGAGCCTCACCCACCACTGGCCACACTATTTGTAAAATGACTTGATTTAGCCAAGTCTCAGCTTCCCCTCTTGGTTTTCTCTCCTCATTCTTTCCTTTCTCTCCTTTTCTAATTACATTAAAAATGCAATGCTATGAATGTGCTGATTTTTTTAATTGAAGTATAGTTGATTCACAATGTGTTAGTCTGTGGTGTAGGGCATAATGACTCAGTTATACATACGTATATATTCTTTTTCAGATTGTTCTCCATTACAGGTTATTATAAGATGTTGAATAGAGTTCTCTGTGCGATACAGGAGGGCCTTGTTTATCTGTTTTATGTATAGTACTTTGTATTTCCTGATCTCAATCTCCTAATTTATCCCTCCCCCTCCTTTCCCCTTTAATGACCGTATGCTTGTTTTCTATGTCTGTGAGTCTGTTTTGTAAATAAATTCATTTGTCTTTTTTAGATTTCACATATAAGTGATATAAAATGATATTTGTCTTTCTCTGACTTATTTCACTTAGTATGATAATCTCTAGGTCTATCCATGTTGCTGCAAATGGCATTATTTTATTCTTCCTTATGGCTGAGTAGTATCCTATTATACACACACACACACACACACACACACGTATACGTCCACACACCGCATCTTCTTTATCCATTTATCTGTCGATGGACATTTAGGTTGCTTCCATGTCTTGACTATTGTAAATAGTGGTGCAGTGAACATTGGGGTGCATGTGTCTTTTTGAATTAGAGTTTTCTCCAGATATATGCCCAGGGGTGGGATTGCTGGATTATATCGTAACTCTATTTTTAGTTTTTTAAGGAATCTGCATACTGTTTTCCATAATGGCAGCACCGAACTACATTCCCACCAACAGTGTAGGAGGATTTCCTTTTCTCCACACCCTCTCAAGCATTTATCGTTTGTGGACTTTCTAATGATGGTCATTTCTGACCAATGTGAGGTGATAGCTCATTGTAGTTTTGATTTGCATTTCTCTGATAATTAGTGATACTGAGCATTTTTTCATGTGCCTATTGGCCATCTGTATGTTGTGTTGATTTTCTTTTTAATCATAGTATGTTTTCCAGTGAAGGTAAGTTTCTAAGGTGAAGATTAAATATGCCTTAGGTTGCATCTGGAATGGACGCTGCATCAGTGAGACTTCGTGCTGTAATTATACTTACCTGTGCTTGTTCTGTGTATTTTATAAGCTCCCTCTGCAGTTGAAGAAGTTCACATGGAAATCTTTTTCCCAGCCCAGGGCTGGCCTTTGACACTCAGGATGTCTGTCCTCACTTTTGTGCTCTACCTGCCAGCTGCTGTCTGTAGTTTCAAGGGTCTTAAATCATGAATGTGGGAATAAGGTCACCTTTGATGCATTCATGATCTTTTGAGCAGTGGTTTAATCCGACAGTTTTCAAACAAAAACTGACTTAAAAGAAAAACAGCAGATGCTAGAAAGCAAAGGAAGTTTACCCAGCACCTTTGAAAATCCTAACCACCTTTCTTATGATCTTGAGCTGTTGAAAAGGGAAAGTGTTTTATTTTCTTTTTTGATTAACAGATTGGTTCTCTAAATAGGATTAATCCTGCCCCCTTTCCCAGAAAAAAAAAAAAGCCTATACATAGAAGAAAAAATTTCTAAAAATCAAGTTTCTTTTCTCATGTGAATATTTGTGACTCTCAAAGGGAAAATGATTTAGGCAGAGAGTGGTCTTGGACCAGTAGTAGCAGGAGCATGCTAACCTGGGTGAATCCTAAGGTTCTGTCCAGTTTTATTCAAAAATCTCATTTTTCTGTCATTCGTGTTTATTTTTTCCCTTCCTTTTACCTGTGGCTGCTTTTCCAGGAGAACTAAAATGGATGGAGACACTGTTTTGTTAGAGACGAATTATGTTTAGGCAAAGCACTAACATAATTCAGGGTGTGCACGTGTGTGTGCACACTTTGGTGTAAAGTTCAGTCTTAAGAAGGTATCCTTTGAAGGCAGGCAGTGCCCCTTTCCGAAAGTGCCCCCTGACAAAACCTTCGTGTCATTGCAGATTATGAATTTGAGACCTCCAAGCCACCAGCCACCACTAAGCCCTCCACCACTGCTGCCACGCCCGCCGTCATCCCCACAGAGGGCTCCATTAGTTCCTATCCTGAAGAAGAATTCGATCTGGCTGGAAAGAAACGATTTGTTGGTAAACAGAACTTCCTTAATCAGGGAAACATGGATTTTTAACTTTTGTTCTTTGATGAAAAGCAGAGCTAATCTCTTGGCTTGGTCAAGGCAGCACATTTGGAGCAGAAGTGTTCCCAGGGTGCAGTTTCCACTTGGGGTGGTGCAGCGAGTCAGCCCTGTTTAAATGCACATTAACTTGCTTTCTGCAGAAGTCAGGAGAGGGGCGTGTGCAGGGGAACATCTGGTATCCGACAGAGCCGAGTCTAGAAAGCCTGCCTTGTGTAGACCAAGAGAAAGAAACGCTTTTTAAAATCATCAGGTCCAGGGAATACGAGTATTTCTCTTGCAGCCAATGTCTCTAAAGTGAGACATCCATTAGCCTGTGCTTGCACGTTGTTCATTAAATTCTTCCTTAAAGACGAATTGAGCTGCTAGTGAGTTTTATAGTTTCAAGGAGCTGGAGCTGTTTTTCTTCTGTTTATTTCTTGTTGTTTTCATCAGCCTCAAGGACTTGGGATCTAGAAATTTTTTTTTATTCTTCCTTCTCGGTTATTAAAACAGTTTCAGGAGGAAATTCTGTTCCACTCAACTATGTTTCATTCCCTTCAGGAGTCTTCTTTTCCCACGCCCTTAATGAACTTCACTAACAAGACAGATTAATATATTACTGAGTGGAAAAAAAAATAATGTATTACTGAGTGAAGACAGGCAACAGCTTAAACTAATATCACACTTTTCTGTTTCCAAAATGAATGCTCTACCATAAGCAGAGAACAGCTCTTGCCAGCCACGATGTAGTATTGAGTGTCTGAACTCCACGTACTTGAAGAACAAGACTGTTAATTAGAAGGAGCATTCCTGAGGCCAATGCTAATGCTGGCCCAAGGCATCCAGCTGCCTGGCTGAATTCACCGAATGTTCCGACTTGTCTGTCTGTAGTTACATGACAGAAACTGAAATGCTTTCAGTGCTATTATTAGCTGCTCCAGAGAACTCCTGTAAGACTGAAAGGCTTGCCATTGTCTGGCTGTTTTCATTTGCCTGTAGCTCTATAAAGCAGAGTAGACTACTCCCCCAGACTTCCTGATGGGACCCCTGAACGAGCTTGAAAGGCCTAATTTTATATGGAACATTAGAAAATAGAGGAGCTAAAAATGGCTTTCAGTCCTTACAGCCACTGAGAATGAGAACCTGGACGAGGATGTTTAGGAAGTGCTGGAAGTTGTTCCTTGAGAGCACTTGGGGGTCCTGCCTGTGTAAGCCCAGATCCAGCTCCTTGGCGTCTCTGGCTTCTGGAGTGCGTGCGGTAAGAAGAGCTGTGTGCTGGCGGGAGAGGCTGACCTGGTTGACCGTTGCTCAGCTGGAGCCGGGGGTCAGTTCTTGTCCCGCCTTCATCCTAGGGTCCTTGTATCTACTGAGATCGTGTGTGTAGAAAAAGCTTGACTCCATCCCTGAAAGCGGGCCGCTGTTATTGTTCTGAGGGTCAATGATGTAGGAGGCTGTTCAGGACTGGCCTGTGCAGCTATTCCAGACGGTTATGGGGATCCCTGAAGTCCCAGGGAAGGCCGCCCAGGACTGAGGCTAGAGGCTCTGCATCTTGATCAGTGTGTGTTTTTCTGGTCCCCAGACAATCTAAGGAATGAACTGTGTTGAGAGAGGTCTGAGTTGGGCCAGAGTCATCCTCTTCCAAGTGTTTGGGCTTGGGAACAGCAGAATGCTGCCGACTCGCATTCCATTAAGCTGTAGTTTGAGGATGTTTCAAAACCACTTTGAGAGCATAATCATCCATGTTGATGGAGCAATAGGATGTTTTGAAACCACCCTATTGAAAGATGTAAATGCATGAATCCATTCAGGAGAGCCAGGCACGCACGTCTGAGTTTGGCATCAGGGATTGATGGCCCTGGATGTTTAGCAGGAAGAGACTGAATGGTGGGTCTACTCCGTGGAGCAGACATCAAGTTTCTGCCGCTGGAGAAAGCCGTCAGCAGTCTGACTGGATGTGTTTGTTCTTTTCCAGCTCCTTATGTGACATACTTAAATAAAGACCCATCAGCGCCATGCTCTCTGACTGATGCTCTGGATCACTTCCAAGTGGAGAGCCTGGATGAAATCATTCCAAATGACCTGAAGAAGACTGACCTGCCTCCTCAGCATTCCCCTCGCAACATCACTGTGGTTGCTGTGGAAGGCTGCCATTCGTTTGTCATCGTGGACTGGGACAAAGCTGCCCCAGGAGACACGGTAACAGGTGTGTCCCAGGCAGATGCTCAGAGCTCCTATCAGCCTGTAGATGGGAAATACAGACAATGGTGGATGAGTGGATGGATGGGTGGATTAATGGATGAGTGGATTAGGTGGATGAATGATGGATGGATGGAAGATGGATAGATGGATGGGAAATGGATGGATGAATAAATGAATGGATAGATTGGATAAATAAATGATGGATGGGTGCGTGGATGGATGGTTAGGTCAAACGGATAGATGGATAGGTCAAAGGGATGGATGGATGATGGGTGCACAGATGAATTGGATGGATAAATGCAGATATACTCTTTCAAAAGGATGAAATATAGGCAATAAGCAAAGCATTGTGGGGTAGTATGAAGAGCACTAGATGGAAGTCAGAAGCCCTGAATCCTACTCTCAGATCAGTTTGTGTGACTTGGAGCTACCTATTTCATTTCCGTAGACCTTGGTTTCCTCCTGTGCAAGTATTGTTACAGCTCGTTTTACTCTGTGATCCTGCAAATAACCAGGGAGTCCACGGAGCCACTCGTGAGATTAGATCCTTCTTGGGTGATGAAAGATCTCCTACTGAATGAGTCAGAGTCACCCCTGGGGTCGTGACTCAGCCTCTTGCCTTCTTTCAGTGTCTGCTGGGTGCTCCCGAACCAGTCCGGGTGCTCCCAAATTCCTTAGGTGGGAATTGGATGTGATGGAAAAATGCCCGGGGATCTTGAGCCTTCCTGGGTCTTGGCCTGTGAAATGTTCATGAGTTCTTTTGACCCTGCCAAGGATATAGTTGAGGATAAATTTGTTGAGATAAGTTCTTACAGAAAAGAATTAATGTTTTCCTTGACTAGACCTTTCTTCGGCAAATGATTCTTTTTGGACCTGCGAGTTACGTAAGAGGAAAGAATACATGTGTGTCTCGGGGCTGAGGTTGATGGTATAAGCCGGAGTTTGGCTTATTATCTGTCATCTGGTGTAGTTCATTGAATTCAAAATTTCTAATGCTTTTGCTTTATATTCCCAATGTTATCACTTAAAATGAGGAAAAAATACCCAAGCACGTCCAAAGAACAACTTTTCTTACAGAGGTTGCACAGCCAGCCCAAAAGCCAGGGTAAGGGACACAGGGAAGGGTGCCCGGTGCGGTGCCAGGCGAGGCTGACGGCAGGGGAGAGCGAGGGTGCAGGTGAAGGGATCTGAGTCCTCGTGTAACGGAAGATGCTGGTCCTTCCAGCGTGCGGAGCTGCGTGGGCTGCTGAGGCCAGTTTATATGAAGTCCAGCATGTTCCTAACAGAAAGCAAGTAAATAAATGGAAAGAGGAAAGCTTGTAGTCAAAACAGCCAGAGAAGCCTTTTACGAACTGAATATGGTTTTATAAACGGCAGTTTTTTAAAAGCAAGAAAGCATACAGAAAATAAAAGAATCGAAAACCTTCTCTTAAGCTATTTAGCTTTTGATCTCTTGCATAACAGATGTTACTTAACATAAATATACCACTGTGTCCTGAGCCATGGGGCTTCTGAGAAGCAGGATGGCTGCGGGATGAGAGAGCCAGCCACTTCAGACGCGCCTCAAGGGCTGGCGCGTGAGGAGCCTTCGGAGAACTCCCGGTAAATGTCGCTGGACTTCACTCAGACGCAGTTCCTGTGTCATCCCGTAGAGGGCGTGCCTCTGAGACACGGGCTCGTTAACTGCATCCCAAGCCTTCCGAAGCGCCCCAGAGACGTTGGTGTCATCTCACCATCACAAACCCACACCTGCCCCGAAACCGACAAACCTCAGTGCCCTGATCATGAACATTCACACCACTAGCATCAATAATATGGATGAGATATTTATAGGGATTCGGGCACTTTCAATAGAAAATTGTGTCGACTCCTACCAGGATGTTTCCCGTGGAACATTTCAGCGCATGACAGCCCTGTTAGAGCCGGTTAGACCCCAGAGGCTGAAAGAGAAGGTAGTGGGAGCTCTTCATCCGCCAACAAATCAAGCAACAGCCCTTTTACATGCAGAATAACCAAAGTGGATCCACAGATACCTCCTAAACCCAAACAGAACATCACACTTTCGGGTCCACCGCAGGGTACGCGGGTTCTGGTGGCTGTGTGAGATGTCGAGCACCCTGCTGATTTCCACCAGCCGTCCTCTCTTGGACAAGCAGTCAAGTCAATGTGTATCCACACGGTGTCCAAACCGTCTGAAACTCCTCCAGAGTAAATGGGCCTGAGGCCAGTTGCTTTCCCTAGTCAGTCCTAATAATGAAGCAGTCCATCCATAGGGAGTGACTTCGTGGGAAATGACTGATGTGCTGGCCTCTGAGATTTTCAGGGCGAGCCCATCAGTCTTTCGGGACTGGTTTTGCTGAGAACAGAGATAGCAGGACAAGTGTTCAGCCAAGTACGTTATAAAAATCCAGACACAAGGATAAGTGGAGAAACCTGTGGACGGTGTGGGAAGGAGCACGAGGCTCTGATGGGAGCCGAGATCAAAGAGGAGGAGTCGGCTGACCCATCAAAGCCAGGGCTTCTGGGGACCACGTGTGAGCCTGTCCACCACTGGGCGGCCCTTGTTCTGTGCAGCATCAGCATAAGCATGTGTGGCTTGACATCGTTGTCACCAGAGGAGGAGGGATCCTAAGGAGAGAGCAGCAACCCTTCCCAGGTCCCCATGCAGTATTTGTTGAAAAAAAAACAAAAACGAATTCCTCCAGAAAGCCGTGTAGAAAAGGTTTCAGAGCCCAGTGCACCTGCTTCTGCTCCCCTAGTGCCCAGTAGTCAGCTGTGTGACTCCAGTGCACTTTCTCCATCACCACAGCAGCTCTTGTGGAGGTCAGCAGCAAGAACAGGGTGCTAAGTTTGCCTCCAGATGCATTTCATGCTCCTGATCTTCTCCTCCTTGACTTGTGGTCCGACTCTCTCCACCTGAGTCTCCCTCACAGGCTCACCCTCTTAGACCTGACATTAAAGATGGAAGGCTTGATCCTGAGTCCTTTTTTCTTCTTACTCTCTCTTCTCTCCCTCCAGGATTTTACCCACACTCACGGTTTTAATTTCTCTTGGAGATGAGTTATTGGTTTGTAGCTCAAGGCCCAGCCTGCCTCTCCTCTGAGCCTCAAACCATAAAATCACATCCACTTGACCTCGTCACCAGCCTGGCTCCAAAGCATCTCAGACTCAGCCTATCCAAAATCAAACTTGTGATCCTTCTGACCCCCAGACCTGCTCGTCTGGGTTTTCTGTCTCAGAGAAGGCCTCACTTTCCACCCACTTTTGCAAGCCTGAAGCTTTGGAGTCATCTTAAAATCTCCTTCTTTGATTTCCCCTCCATATTCAGTTCATCACTAAATCCTGTCACTTCACCTTTCAGATTTCTCTCCACTCTGTCCACTTCTGTCCATTCGCTACCGCAGTACCTGGGCTGTTGCCACGTCTTGCCGGGATATTGCAGTAGCTATCGAGCTGGACCACCCCATCCGCACCAACACCCGATGGGTTCTCCCCTCGGCACGAGAGATGCCTCGAAGACAGTCTTGTTGTGTCGCCCCTTTAAGGTCTTCCTTTTCTTCTAGAATGGAAAGCAGAAGCCTACGTGACCAAAGGGGCCTGTGTATTTTTTCCATTCAGTGCTACTTTGGCTTCATTTCATGCTGCCCCGACCCTGCCGCTCTGAGGCTCTGCCTCCTCCTGGCCACTCCCTCTTCAGCATCTTTACCCAAGTAGTCCTTCTACCTGGCGCCCTCCCCACCTCCTACCATGCACCTTAACCGCTTCCCTTCCTTCAGCCCCATTTCATGACCAGGGATGCTCTCCATGCTCCTTGACCAGGTCAGCTCCCCCCAACACCCACCCTGCAAACACATGGGCTGCACCTTCACAGCTGCATAATCCAGTTTGTCTGCCCACCCTGCTGCTCCTTGAGTTTTAGATAAAATGAGTCACCATTCGATCTCCAGCACTTAATATAGTGTCTGACAAATAGTCAGCACACAATAAATACTTGTTGAATGAATTAATGAACGTGCACTTAGACCAGATATTTAACCTCTATCTAAGACTCAGCTTCCTCATGTGTCTGAGTGGAGAAAGTGAAACCTCTGTACTAGGGTCAGGAGAATCAATCAAAGTCATACTTAATTGAGAGCATTTGGCATCATGTTTGGCCCGTAGAAAGTACTTGACAGATTATTTCCTTCCAAAATGAGAGGCCCAGTGGAAAGCATGTGTGAAGCTGTGATGTGACTTCACTTGGCCTCCCTGAGGCAGCCCTGAAGGCTGGGCAGGTGTCAGGTCTGAGGGCCCACCTGCTGAGGTCCATTAATAGCAGATAAGGCAGAAAGCGTGGAGATCACTGCTCTTTTCTTCCGCATTCACGGTTAGATGTGATTAATTCTGAAGAGATGAGGAAGGCCAAGGAATGGGGGAGATAAGGAGAAGAAAGAGAAGCAGGGAACCAGCTGCCATCAGGAAGGGTCTTTCATTCTTTTATCTGCTCCTGGATTCCCCAGTGGATACCAGCATTATACCCTATCCTGACCCAGCACACTTCTTGCTCCCCTTCTGGTACCTCTCCCACCGAGCTGCCTCCATGCCAGTGCCTCCTCCCCACCCTTCTTCCCTGGGCTCTGCCTCTTGTGTGATGTGGTTCCTTCGCTCTCACTGGGTTCTACCTTCTTGCCGCTTGTAGGTTACTTGGTTTACAGCGCGTCCTATGAAGACTTCATCAGGAACAAGTGGTCCACCCAAGCTTCCTCAGTAACTCATTTGCCCATTGAGAACCTGAAGCCAAACACAAGGTATGATGTGTCAGTCATTTACAAACAAGAAACGAGACCTGTGTGCATGGTCATGGGTAGCCTTAGGTTGAAAAGGAAAAGATTAATCAAAACTGTTTTTATGATTTCTTTTGAATTCTCTATTTAGTTCTCATAGACCATCAAAGAATGCTTAGTTGATGTCATGAATTTGGCTTAGGAGAAATTACTGTGTGCACTGTAACTGTTAGGTTATTGTGTTCATATCTTGTTTCCTATTTTCCAGAGACTAAAACTACCTACCCTTGGGGAAGGAAAGGTTGTTCTGTATGTAGAAAGGGAATCGGTCCATTTGCAGTCACCCACATGGTGGCTTTACGCAGCACAAGCATCGTATGTGACATTAATGGGGTAGCACTTGCTAAACATTTTAATGACTGATACTCATACTATGATGTAGAAGTTCCAATCATTCAAGAAGGATGTGCTTTACATGTTAATAAGGGTTATAAGAAGCATGTCTTCCTAAACTAGGCAGGGGCTCTCTGGGCAGAGGACCATCTGGGAGTCACGGTTTGTATATTTCACCATGGCCCTCAGTGTGAAATATACAGAACTTATTCCAAAGGTACAAAACGTGTGCGTTTCCTCTTTTATACCATCTATTTTTGCTGGTAATGATCATCAGGAAAGCTTCCTTGGTGGGTGAACATGGGCAAAGCACCAAGCACACGATGGTCGAGCCGTGGTGTACTTGTAAACTAGCTTTCTGGGGGAAAAGATGGCTTATGGTGTTTGCCAATTTCTGTTTCTCCCACCACAGCTAGGTACCAGGATGGCTCCAGGCTTGAGAACTATTCAGCGGAAATGTCCCCTGTAGCCGTGGAATATGTGTCATTCCCTAGGTTACGATTTCCTTTTTTCAAAGGGAAAAAAGCATCCGTCGTTTGGTATTTTTGTCATGTGCCAAACCCACTGCTTGAATTGCCAGCAGAGTTTGCCTTAAATAACTCCGCAACCACTGAGTTGAAAGTTTGCACAATTGGGAAAATGCTAAGTGCTGAGTGAATTGAGATTTGGAAACTCATATGTTCTTAATTGTACATATCTTTTTTTTTTAAATGAAATTTAAAAAAGGATTTGGTCCTAAATGAGACGTGAATTACTTTCTTGAAAAGCATAAAAGAGGACTGATTTTACCCAATGGACTTTTCTTTGCTCTCTGTTTAACCAAACCCAAAGTCAAATATCTGCATAACTGTGAAGCCGGAGGCTCCCTGGGGGATCTCAAAACCTCCGAAGGCTCAGTGCCAGGGCAGGGGTGCAATGTGCACACGCTTTTGCTCTCTGAATGTAAATAATTCTCCCGTTAAAATTTTGTGCATCTTAACTTGTGCCTATAATCTGTGTCCCTGACTTAATGAAATCCAGGATTTTGCAATATTGAAGTGTGGCTCCTGCTGGCTGGAAGCCAATGAAGGCGCCTTCTGAACTCTCTGAAATGGTGGAGAGCCACCACTCACAGGGATTTTTTACCTTCTTTCTTGACCTGGAAGTAGCAAGGGACTAAGGGAGCACAGATGATATTTGGACTCACAGAGGTGAGGACAAGACGCAGGTGAACAGGAGATACGGTGGGTGTCCACTGGTGCTGGTGTCCAGTATTTTCTCATCACCACTTTTGGTCCTGTGGCTCATCAGAGTACCAAGTAAGATGCTCTGGGACTCCCAGTCTACCCGGCTTATCAGTCTCCCTTTAGATGGACTAGCTGATTCAGACAATGTGCTTTCTAGCACGTTCTCTGTTCCAAGACAAAGATTAATCCACAGCAAAGCCTCGCCAGGCCTTTTCCACTTCCCTCTCCCAGACTTGCTTCTCATTCCTCAAGGCACAGAAGCTAGAAACTCAGTGACTTTTAAGGCTCCAGAGCCAAGCACAGCACTTGTCCTGCGCCCAGAACATTGTTGTCATGTCAGTTCCACTGAGGGGCCCGGCCTCTGGACGGGTTCACCCTCTCCCTGCCAACAGTGGGTTGCATCATCACTGGGTCAAACATCCTGCTTTTTCACACAAAGTCCAGTGATAAGAATTAAATCAAATTTGGAATTCTGCTCTTAAGTGTTTCACTGTTCCAACTTCTCCCTCTCGTGTGGTGGAACTTAATTAAGATGGGACATCCAGGGACGGGCCTGCACAGGGCAGCTCAATCCTTGATGCTCTCAGGAACGCACGATCCAAGTGACCCATTTGCCCTGGGCACCCCTTCTGTTCCCATTAGCCACGTGTCTGTGCTGTTAATTGTCTTGTTTTGAAAAGTTATTTGAAACTGAGAAAGTTCAGAAATAACATGAAATAGCGACGGTGTATGCGTGCGTTTGTGAAAACACAGGACTCAAGCCCTACCACAGACTCGGCGCTCAGGAGTTTGGGGCTTTGTCTCATTACACAAAAGTGAAACAAGCTTCTCTTTCAAGAACTGTTTTCTTCCAATTTCAGGTATTATTTTAAAGTTCAAGCCAAAAATCCTCATGGCTATGGACCTGTTAGCTCTTCAGTCTCATTTGTTACAGAATCAGGTAGGGGCACCTTCGTATTCTTGTTTTTCCCTCTTCTTAAAAACAGATAACCTGAAATAATGGCTACAATGGAATAAAAACTGAAGAAGGAAAATTCTATTTAATCAATTTATTTTGGATATCACTTTATAAAATAAACTTAGTTTTCTTTCTGCTAAGTTAAAACTTGTATATTCAAATTAAAAGTAGTCCTCATTGGAACTGCCTGCGAGGTGAAGAGGTCAAATTCCAATGAGAAGTGGGGAAAAATCTAGTTTTCAACCGTATGGAAAAGATGAGTTTGAAAATCTGTAAAGATTTAGTGGCAGAGATAATATCTCTTTAAAAAAAATTACAAATAGCTGATGACTGTAAATGTCAAGTGGCCTGAGGGGCAGTTGCTTCTTCCAATTAGTCAAATCTCTGAGATGCTTCATGTACTAGGAGACAGAGATGCCTTTACTTACTATGGAGGGTTTAATTACAATACTGTCCATCTTACAAGCAATATCACTCAGAGGATGTCCTTGCTTTGGAATGCTGGTGGGCAGAGCTCTCAGCCCCTTCATGAAATGTCCCCGTGGTCATGGCGTGAGGCGGTACCCACAGTACTGAGACCCATGGTGGCAGTCCCTGGGTTAGCCATCTCTCTGTATAGGATGCCAAGCTGGAGAGCTGGTGCCTGTGGCCCCAAGACAGGCACCTTCAGCATCCCAGCTGGGCCAGCCCCACACTAAAGTGGCTGTAGCTTCCTACATGTAGCTGGCTCCCCAGACATTTGCCATGGACATTTTAGGTGTGAAGATTTAAATCTACTGAATCAAAATATGTGGGAAAAATATTTTGTGAGAATATACTTTATACTGAGACCATAGATAAAGGGCCTCACAAGCATTTTCACCTGTTTCATCTAAGAAGTTTCCTAATATTACTTAAGAAAGAGTAGGAGAAAACCATTATCAGTGGTTAATTTGCTCCAGTAAGGAATGTATCTGCGTTTATGGCTGCATTTCCTAAAAATAACATAGACTTTTGGCATAAATGAACATAATAAAGGTCTGTAAAAAAAAAAGCCAAATATTTCAAATCTAAACAGCTATCAAGAATTGGAGGTATGAAATCTGAGAGTAAAGAGATATAAATGTAATTTCTGGGACTGCAATGTAAAATTTTGAATAGACAGCTCTCTGCTACCCCCTTCCCAAGAGAACTCCCACCAGGTTCCCGCCCTATCCTTTGTAGTTTCCAGGGGGTGGGTGGGGAAAATCCAGGGCTCACCCAGACTTCTGAACAACTCTCCTGGGGGAGACGGCAGTAACTCACTTTCAGAAAGTCCCCAGGAGATCCTGACGCACACAGAAATCTGACAGTCATTTGCCTTGGCCAGATTCACTGTATTCTGTCTTTTAAGTCTCTCCTTCATTTTGTATTTCTTGCTGGGGCAGTTAGGGTAACAACAAGAAACTTATCAAGTTTTGTATTATGACATTTGCCAAATGTAAGAGTCAAAAACTTAATATATGTGTAACATAGGCTGCACCATGGGGTAAGTTCTTACCCTTGTTTGTGTTGTTATTGTGTACTGGTCTGTTGGTCCCCTATACCCTGCCCCAGAGTGTCTGACTTTCCCAGCAGACTATTGAAACTTAGAGCAAGAGAGTAAAACAAGCATTTATCCTTACAGCTAACAGTATGTCAGTTTATTCTGTAGATGGTAGATGATGTCAGGATGGATGGTGTGCACAAAGGAGATTTGCGATGATAGGAATATTCTGTGTGATTGTGGTGGAGTTCCCTGAGTCTATGCATGTGTTAAAAAGTCGTAGGATATTTACCCTAAAGAAGTAATTTACTCTATGATAATTGAAAAAAAAAAAGAGAGAATGGCTCCTGTTTATCTGGCCTGTGGTAATTTATGAAACAGACTTTTTCTAAAGCAGAATTCTTTAAAAGATAGTTTCATATTAAGTGGCATTATTGGAGCTAAGATATAGATAGGTTTTAAAAACAACTTTATTGAGGTGTAGATGGTATACAGTACTGTTCATACTCAAAGTGCACAACTGAGTAAGGTCTGAAGTACATTTATAGACTTGGGTCCATCACCGCAGTAATGGCAGTGAACATCTCCATCACCCCAGCAAGTTCCTCCTGTACAGTCCAGCCCTCCTGCCCCTCCTCACCTGCCCATCTTCTCCCCTGTTCTCAGACAACCCCTCATCTGCTGTTTGTCACTGTAGACTCATTTGCACTTTCTAGAATTCTGTATAGATGAAATCATACAGTAGGAGTTCTTTTGTCTGGCTTTTTGCACTCAGGATAATTTTGAAATCCATCCACGTTGTCATATTGATCAGTAGTTCATTTTTTTTATTAATTAGCAGTATTCCTTTGTATGTATATGCTGCAATTTGTTTATCTATTCACCTGTTAATGGGCATTGTGTTGTTTCTGCTTTTTGGCTATTACAAATAAATACCGCCATGAACATCCATGTACAAGTATTTATATGGACATATGCTTTAATTTCTCTTGGGTAAATACTCAAGAGTAGAGAGGATGGATTGTATAGTAGGTGTATTTTTTTTTTAAGAAACCACCAAATTTTTTCCAAGATGGGTACATTTTAAAACATATTGAGTATTGAATTATTTTTTAGTACCCAATGTCAAAATATTGTCTTCAGGGATCCACAGCTTCTATATAAATATCAATGCAATATAAATAGAGGAGTATTTCTTGAAAGGAAATGCTTAGAAAATAAAAACCAAGGGAAAATCTTAGCATTTGTCAAATGGGCCTTCCACTTTCTTTATCTGTTCCAGTTTGGCTAGCTCTTTCATGTACAAAAAATATTCCAACAACTGCATGGCTGTGAGATATAATAGTGAAGTCAATTATTTCTTTTTCATTTTATAGACAACCCTCTGCTTGTTGTGAGGCCACCAGGTAAGTTTCTCTTCTTGATAAACTTGACCTTCTAGTCATCAAGTTGAACATTGACTATGAGATTGTTACGGTTACTCACAAGTAGAAATGCTGAACTATTTTTGTAATGTCATAATTTTCTGACAACTTCTGTGGTTTCTTTGCACTCATTATCCTAATCTATGGAAAAGAATGCTCTGGAAATTTTAAAATAGGGCTATAGCAGCCAATATCTGTAAAAAACTGTTATGGGTGGCCAATATCTATGAAAATAGATAACTTTATTTTCATAACCCCTTTTAAAGATTTTAAGTTGGTGAAGAGATAGCAAAATGCATTAAGTGTACAACAAAATTTTACTTTGTTTTTCAAATAAACTGAGAAAGACCTATTGCTTAAGTTAAAGACTGGCCTTAGGAGTGACAAGGACAGTAGGCACATATGCTGAGGGACTTTGGGAGGGGAAGGTAGGATGGCACGCCCAGCAAGGTCAAGTTCGCCATTATGGCTTGTATTTCTTGAAGCTTAAAGGATTTTTCTTATTCTGAGAATCCTTGATAGAAATACAAATACGTTTACTGTGTTCAGTTACAAGGAACTCTCCATTTGTGCTTCAGGACAAAGAAAGAAGAGAGTAGAGAAAGTGGGTGCCCATTGGGAGGTGGGAAAACTGTTCAGAAAAGCCCTGAGAGGAGGGGGAGTCTCAGTGATTAAGTCCAATTTTCTGGTACTTCGTGCAAGAAGAAACACCATGATACGCCATGACTTAGAAGGGTGTTTCATGTTGTCCAGGTGGTGAGCCCATCTGGATCCCGTTTGCTTTCAAACATGACCCTGGCTACACGGATTGCCACGGCCGGCAGTATGTGAAGCGGACGTGGTACAGAAAGTTTGTGGGAGTCGTTCTTTGTAACTCACTGCGGTACAAGATCTACCTCAGTGACAACCTGAAAGGTGGGTCTTTGGGGATGATGTGCTGTGGGAAGATGTGGAAAGTTTTTATTTCATTGGATGCTCACTTGACATCGTGGATGCATCAGGATGCATTTGAAGCACAGACTCACCATGTCTCCCTCTGACTCAAATGCAGACCAGTTTTGCTGGCTTTATTCTAGAGCAACTAGTTTTTACATTGACACCCAGAAACAGATATATTTTAAATCTACTACTTTCTAAGAATGAGGCCCAAAATTCTGTTAGAAATGTAAAGACCATTTTTCTTTGCTGTTAATTCCATAACACTAAGTATGAGTGTAAACTGGAAGTATTGAGGAAAGGTACCTCTCTACGTTTTTTGCCATTGGCACAACATTACAGAGAAAAAATGTAGAATGTGAAACATACATAAGCAGTACTATTTGTTCTGTGCCTGAATAAAAATTACATTGTTTTCATCATGGTAGGTAGGAGATTAAAGCAAAGAATAACGTAAGTACTTTGAACTACTAACATTTCAAAATGCCATTTCTACCCAGCCAGTTTTGAATCACCCACCTACACAAAACTGTTTTTTTATTTCAAAATTTGCATAACTTTTAACTTTTCAGTGCATACGTTTTTAAAACCTTTCCCTTGGCTGGCTTATGTTTTGTCATGGGTCAGTTTTTGTTTGTTTGTTTGTTTTGTTTCTTGTTGGTGGTCATCGTTTCAAGATAATGTCGGTCTCCCCAACCCTCCCTGACTCTGGTAATTTCTCAGTGTATGTGTCTCCCCTGACAACTACTGTCTGTTTGTTTCTCTCTGCTCATTTTTTCCCCTCTCCCACACTGCCCTTTTCCTCCCCTGCGTCAGAATTCCTGGGAGAGGTTGCACAACCATGTCTGGTTCCCTAGGGTTGAGAGAAATCACTTCGCCCTACTGTGCAGCTGTGGTTCAGGACCAAGGACAGCGCCTCACGCCGCAAAAGCACCCTACTTCTAGTTATGTATGAAAATAGATTCTTGCATTTATATAGATATTTATGTTTTCATGATTATTTCAAAATATAGTCTCTATCAAGGGTTCCTCCCTTTTTTTTAAGCCAAAGAGTAGTAAGGTCTACCAGTTATAGGCTGAAAATGCCTCTAATATTAGTAGTTTCCATTTAATGAACACTTGTTAAATATTAAGCATACATGATCTCACTGAATCCTTACAACACTTACTGGAACTGGTGCCACTATCACCATTTTTCAAACATGGAAAGTATGACACACAGAGTTGAAGTAGTGCGCCCACTTCAAAGCGTGTGCCAGTTCCTAAACCAGCATTTTTTGACCAGTCACTGACCCACTGTATTCCTTTATGCAGATACATTCTACAGCATTGGGGACAGCTGGGGAAGAGGTGAAGACCACTGTCAGTTTGTGGATTCACACCTTGATGGAAGAACAGGGCCTCAGTCCTACATAGAAGCCCTTCCTACCATTCCAGGTAATTTGAACAAAGGCCTGATACATTATCCTTAGATGCTTTCCAAAAGTTACCTCATTAACATAAACTCACAGGTGGTTGAAAGGGGTTTATTATGAATATCCAGACAACTTGATTGCTCTTATCATTTAGGAAATTCTAAGGGTTTTAGGAGCTGTGTGCCAGGAATGAGACTGAAGACCAAATAGATATTTCCTATTATAAATCACAGTGTCAGATACATTTTTCTTCCCCTTTCTTTCCTCTTACCCTTCCAGGCTACCATCGCCAGTATCGCCAGGAGCCAGTCAGCTTTGGAAACATTGGTTTTGGAACCCCTTACTACTACGTGGGCTGGTACGAGTGTGGGGTCTCCATCCCAGGGAAGTGGTAACCACAGGATGATCACTCTGGAAGCTCACTGTGCCCAGCCCCCTCAACTAATTTGCACTTGGGGCTGTGAGCAGGAAAGAGGATGGTGTCCCCAGCCCCACTGTCCCAAGTGTCGGCAAGGTTGCATGATGGACACCGGACACTTCAGGCATCTTCGATCTGGAGCTCAGTCCTACTACTTGGCCTGGACCACACACAGGATTCAATGTTGCTGTTAACCTTGCTTCTCCACATGTTCTGCTTACAATAGCACATCCCAGAGACGGCAGAAACACGCAGCTACCGGGATGCCCACTGATTCAGTGCGATTTTCATACTCCAGGGGTATCTCCAGGGATCAGCACAAACACGCTGTGCTTGCTTCATAGAACGCCACACGCTTTCTTTTTAATCACTGGACTTCTCCAAAAATAGCTGAATTTAAGCTTTGGATCTCTATCTATGCCATAGAACTGAATTGCTAAAAATATCACCGAAGGAAATGTATCCTACTTACAGTTTATTCTGTGGACCTACCCACCGCTAGACCAAATGTATCAAATCTTATTTGTAAATTCTCAATTTTGATATATATATGTATATATGCATATACATATCCACACTTGTCTGCAAGGACATTGATTAAAATCGCTGAATTTGTACTTGTTCACTAGATAAATGTGTGTGGGACTTTTTGGAGCAGAGGTGCTATTTATTAACATCTTTTGAGAAGGGTCCAAAGAAAATGTACCCTACAGAGCATGAGATGAGTGGAAGGGTATGTGTTCTTTCTGTGAATGCTGCTGAGCTTTGGAAATGACTGGGATGCAGTGATACTGGCAGTGAACCAGTTGCAAACTGAGTTCCTTCCACCTTCTGTATCCGTGTGAAAGATGCGCTGGTTGTCTCTATGAGGACATATCCAGATGTTTCCAGATTAATTAAGGTTTTAGATCCCAAATGATTTTAAAGTCCAGTTAAAAAAAGCTCCTTTCCCCTTTCCTTCCTATCTCAGTATCTACTCCTCAAAATATAAGCATCTCACCCCTCTTGAGGCAGTAGGAGAGGGTTTATTTAGAAACACTTTATTCTAAGTCTTCTTGAGGCATGGTGTCCTTTCCACATGAATGTGCGTGGTGCCTCCGTGTCCTCCGGCAGCTCTGGGGGAACTGAGGGTTCATCTTCTCTTAGAGTTTTCAGCATTAAGAGAAGCAGCAGTGAGAACGAGCTAGAGGCAGACACCTTTCTGGGACCACAGGCTGTACCGCTACGTAAATGATCTAATCGCAGAAAGCAGTCCCGCTACTGGGGTCAGTTTTTTTCCCTTGGTGCCGGCGGCTTTTTGAGGTGAAGCCTGATGTGTCTGGTAGGTTTGCAGGTCAAATTCACAAGAAAACAAGTAACTGCTGGGTCTTTGTTGGGGGGCAGCGGAAGCTGACATTTTCCCAACTGTTGCAATCTCCCTTCTACAGAAAACAACAGTCAAGAGGATCCAAGCTTCCTGCTGGGCTTGGAAAATACTAGAATTCCTCAGGGGTACAGATTAGATACTCAGTTCATTTGTTACTCACATTTGCAAAAGAAGAATAGGAATCTTTAAGTAGCTTCTGGGGCTCTTGTACATGAACGGGGGGTTATTACAAAGGGGCGTCTAAAAAACACCTATTTTTCACACTAACATTCAATGCCAAGCTGAAGATAAGATCTTTAAATATAAGTGAATTTTCCTAATAAGCCGTAACTTGCTTCCTTTATTTCTCCCCTCCACCTCCAAATTTCTGTCTGGGTGTCAGTATCCGGTAGCCTCCTATTGGAGAGTGGAGAGAGATGCCCCCAGTCTCCTGGGGGCAAGCACCAGGAGAGTGCAGTTTCCTGGAAGTGTTTCCTTGGTTATAAATAATTCATTACCGGGCATAAGAGAAGAGCCACGTGATCTGCTCCACAAGCCTGTGCTTGACACAGGACCTCCTGGGGAAGAGATGGGGTTTCCATCCAACACAGATGCAGGCATCTCATTTGTGATTCACTCTTTCATAAGCTGAAGGGCGTGTTCCCCTTCAGCCTCACCCTCAAGGGTTTTATGCTGATTTCAGATACAAAAGGATACATCTCCCTCAGAAGGATTCTATGCTTATAGAAATACATAGATTTCACCGGCTTTCACTCATGCAATGATTTTTGAGCCCCACCTGGAACCTGAGACTACTTGATAATAGAAATCTGAACTTTTGTATTACAAATAAAACTTTGTAATTCTTTACAGAAATTACTACAAACTCCAGATGATAGAGCAGCCAAAACAAAAACAAAAACACTGAATTTATGCAAAGGTGATGGTATTCTCAATATTCTTTCCAAATTAGGTTACACAATAGTTCAGATGAGTCCACAGCGATCACATCAAGTGTCTAGTGCTGTGTGGTCCCGGAGGACGCGTTTCAGGAACTCCACCGGCAGAGGGATGCCAAGAAGAGGGCATTCAAGATAGGAGAGGGTCTGGAAACCATTTCGTGTCAAGTTGGGATAAAAATCAATGGGACTATTTTCCTAAAGACTTCATCTACTTTGAAGGCTCTAAGGAAGAAGAGTGCTTGCCAGCTCTGGAGGTCAGAAGTAGACACAACTGGGAATAAGAGGAAAATAAAAGTTGGCTCAACAATGTTTAGAATTCCAGAAGGATTTTTAGAAGAATCCAATTGCCAAATGAGCTTTGTTGGAAGGTGCTGAGATGTTCATCCTTGAAAAACCTTAAATGTTGCTGGAAATGTCTAAACTGATAATTTGAGGCCCTCAGCTGGTTTTTATTTGGCCTATGAGCTCAGAGTGATTTTTCTACACATTTAAAGGGTTGTAAACAAAGCGAACAAACAAACAAACAGCAACAACAACAAAACCCAGCCCTGTGGGGCATGGACCATATGTGGTTGCAAGCCTAACATATTTACCCATAAGACAAAACCTCTGTAGCCCTAGATTAGAGTTTTCCTGAGGTTTAAAGAAGATTTTAGCAAAGTCTGAATTTAAAAACTAGAACATAGTACTTAACGGTTATTTGTTGGCTCTTCTCTGACTTGACTTACATTTTCTGACTGGCAAACCTGAATTTTGCATTGAGTGATTGATCCGGGTCCCCAGGTTCCCCATTGGTCAAGCCCTCTTTGTTGGGGTCTCAGGAAGTAGTAGACTTTAGGGGGCTCTATGCATATTTATATAACCCTTTGGTACAACACAGTTTCTAGGTTTTACCAGATGGGTTTGGACTTTTTTTTCCTTTTTGACCTCTTCAAGCCACGTATCTTGGTCAGGAGGGTAGGGAATTTGAGAATGTGATAATGAATGGGGTTGGAACGTGTTTACCTCTCTGCACAGAGCACAGGTCTTAGTCGCTACACATAATTGTAGACCGATTCCACCATAGAATCAGCCCACATTCCTGCAGAACTTGTAGGTTGTAGATGCCTTCAAATCATCTCCTTAAAATGTAACCATTTTGCAATTGGAGGTAAGAAGTGAGCCTAAAAAGTGAAATATCTTCCCAACCATCCCCTGTCCCAATTCTCAGATTAGACTGAGTCAGGAAAATTGTGAGAAAACACAGAGCATGCTTGTTATGTATGGCAATATAGTTTTAAGTCTTAGTTGTAAGATTATCAATGTACAAATTCTTAAAATCATAATGAGAGCTAAGCCCACAAGGATTTATGATAAAAGTGAAATAAATTAACATTAGAAATGAAGGCTGATAAGTTTAATGCAAAAAAGAACAGTCTTGGTCCAAATGGAGAAGGCAGTTCTGTCTCAAGCAGAGACGATTTGTTGGTCAAGAATACAAATGCCCTCCAGTGTTAAGGAAAGGGTTTTCGTGAACTGGACCACATGATCTCAGGACAGGAAGTGACTTGCGGGAGGGCTGCTGGGTCGTAGAGGTGTGCAAGCAGTGTTCTTGCCTTTCTCCTGCTCTCCACGTAGTGCTCCATTCTCCTCTTTGCAGACCGACTTTCTCTGGGCACATGTGGCTGGAACGGCCACAAGCCCCCTAGACTTTACACAGGACTGTGCAGTGTCTGGCTGTATGCAGCTATCTGTTTATAAGACCTTGTAATTCTGCTTCTCTCCACCATCTTTCCCCGAGCATCCCAGTATCCAGAGCCAAAGACCAGGACCGGGCTCTAATGGGATATCTTGGGTCAGGTGTCTACATCTTGAGCCAATCAGCTGTTTCAATGTGGAGGTGTCACCTGGAGGAAACATGGCACCTACGCCTGCCCTGTGAGTGGCAGCTGTTTGTATGTGGAAGAAGGTCGTGGCTGACATCTCTAAGACGAATACACAGATAGACGAGAAATAAAATATGAAAATGAATCATTTTATTAGGTGGCTGATAATTTTAAAATGACTTCACTTAGGATATACTGAGGGTTTCCTGCTTGTTCACTTCAGTCTTCTGCATTCTAAGCTCCAGTCTTTCTAGCTACCATTGGGGTAGCCTGCCTTCTTAAATGAAAAGGCATTTGAGAACTCTTCCAGATATTTATAATTAAATTATGGGCTAGAGTCATTCTACCACACCTGTTTTTAAAGAAAAAGAAGACTGCATTTTATTGTCTGAGATGATCCAGGAAGACTCTTATTTTTTAATACAGATAAGAAAGGGATCCAAGACACCAAGTTTTTCTGTAGCATTGTTACCAGACCAGCTCTGAAGTGAATAACCAACACTAGAATTATCTTCCTGAAGATACAGTAGATTAGCCAGAGAAGGAAAATTTTTGAAAGGCCCTGCAAGTAACTGGCCCTGAATGTCACAGTGGGCAGGCGGGATGTCTTTGGAGTAACTCAGGGATGTACTTCCTTGGGAGCTCTGAGGTATCCAGGGTGACACCCCAAGTCCTTCCCACAGACCCCAACGCCCTCCATGATCTTGTCCCCACCCATGCCCCCAGCACACACACTCACACCAATGACACACACTCATGCCTCTCTCCCCTCTCCCCAGCTCCTGCCTGTCACAGAGCCTGCACCGAGCAGACCCACAGTAAATATTTGTCAAATGAGTAACTGTATGGCTAAGAACATAGACAGGAATTAAAAAGGCAACGTCTTTCAATCTAAGATTATCAGGGAGCGAAATGTGCCCCTCCAGCCGCCAACCTGGCTGAGTCGCTCTCAGCTCCCTGTGGTTTTCCATGATGGTTTGTCAAACTATCCCCAAGTTCCTCACAATCCACTACCCATCACCACTCACCTCCACCCACTTCCCCTCCCTTGCAGGAGATCACACTCCACTTCACGGGGTAGACGGGGATACCAGAGGGCAGATCTCCACACACCCGCATCCATGCCCACCATGCGACCCTCAAAGAGCTTCCCCTTAGGCCCAGGGCTGGTGCTTGGCTTCCAGTATGACTCAGGGACTCTGATCTCCTGTGATTACAGTGTCTAGGGACAGACTCTAGACTCTAGGGACAGTTCAGAGGCATCTATTAGATTATCCCTTTAGGGAGATGACAGGTAGGTAGGTAGGTAGGTAGTTAGGCAGGCAGATAGATAAAGGGAGAATAAAATCATCAAGATTTTCAACAGTGACACCAAGAGGAAGGCTCAAAGAGCAAGAGAGATGCCAGAGGAGCCACACTGATCTACACCGATGCCTACTGCATCCTCCTGTTTGGTCCAGAT